TTGTCAGTAATAAGACAAACCAGCCCTAGCTGGTTTGGCTGAGTGGATAGAGCATCGGCCTACGGACTGAAGGGTCCCTGGCTTGATTCCAGTCAAGGGCATGTGCCTGGGTTGTGGGCTTGACCCCCAGTAGGGAGCGTGCCAGGAGGCAGCTGATCCATGATTCTCTCTCATCATTTATGTTTCTATCTCTCTTCCTTCCTCTCTGAAAAAAAAAAGACTTGGAGACACCTGTAGTCTCTTGGATGCCAGGTAGGTGTCGGAGCCTCTCTGCCCTTCCCTAGCCCAACCCTGCAGGCAGTCCTGGAAAGTTGCAGACGGAGCCCCATTTGGCATGCCCCCACTAGTTTTTTGGCCTCGGAGGGGTCTTTCCTAACCCTGTTATACAGTGAAAATGAAAACCTGCCTACACATACAGTGAAATGAAATAATATAGTGATTAAAAATAGAGAAAAGGCTACATAACAATTCTTGACGTGAGCACACATTACCTCATGGCGGGCATACTTATTGAGTGGCGGATGGAGTAGCTGCTGCTTGGAAGCATGGCAAAAGCAGAGAAGGAAACAAGAGTTAAGGTAAGGACAGAACACACTCACAGGTTCCTCAGCCCAGACCACAGAGAAACCCAACTTTGTAATAGGGTGGCAGGACCCCTCCCCCAGCACAACCTGCACCAGAAACTTTGTAATAGGGTGGCAGGACCCCTCCCCCAGCACAACCGGAACGAGCACGAAGCTTGGAAGGCCCCCCACCTGGAGAAAAACTGGACCCACAGCTCCTCCCCCCTCCAGAGTCACCCCCAAGGGGCACGCTGCTGACGGAGACCTCAGCCTGGGGCAGCAGAGAAGCTCTGGTACAAACGGGGTCAGATGTCCTTACGTGACTTCACAGCACAAGTTAAAACTTTAGAGAAGAGAAACAACCAAGTCCAAGTGCTTCAAGTAAAAAGCACTTAAAATCACAGATAGTTCTGAATTTGGGGTCCAGAAGAGTGTGTGACTTCAGAGTGCTGGTGGCACCTAGAGCAGAGCGATGTCAAAAACACTGAACTGGGCTGATGTTGCGCTGGTGCAGAGAGAGCTCTCGAGTCATAAACGAGGGAAACTCGCCCGGTCGGCGTGCCTCTGTGGTTGAGCATCAACCCATGAACCCAGAGGCCCGTGGTTCAATTCCCACCCAGTCAGGCCCAGGCCCAGGTTGCAAACTCAATCCCCAGGAGGGAGCGTGCAGGAGGAGCTGATGGGTGGTTCTCTCTCGTCATTGATGTTTCTCTCTCCCTTCCTCTCTCTGATATTTATAAACAAACACACAAGGGAAACAAGATGCAGAAAGCACGACAGCCCAAGGTCAGCACAACCCTCCCACGTGAACAGGACTAAAATGGGGGGAGGGGCGGGGGGAGGGACAACAATGACGCACAAAGGACTTAGGCGGACACACTCCGCGGGTTGGTTGGAGTAGGCCAGCAACAGTGCCCAGATATGAACACGTCTTTGTTGGGAGGCGTCCCTGCACCAACCATATGGCCAGTGATGACCCTCAGGGGCCAAAGCTCGAGAAGCCTCACTGTGCTGGACAGGGGCCGCACTGGGCGGTTCCCCGCCCCGCGCCACCTTCGTCCAGCACAGCCTCGCAGGGGCTGACGGGGGGAGGGGCGGGGGGAGGGACAACAATGACGCACAAAGGACTTAGACGGACACACTCCGCGGGTTGGTTGGAGTAGGCCAGCAACAGTGCCCAGATATGAACACGTCTTTGTTGGGAGGCGTCCCTGCACCAACCATATGGCCAGTGATGACCCTCAGGGGCCAAAGCTCGAGAAGCCTCACTGTGCTGGACAGGGGCCGCACTGGGCGGTTCCCCGCCCCGCGCCACCTTCGTCCAGCACAGCCTCCCACAGGCTGACAGAGCCTACTCGCCCTGAAGCAGAGAAGCTGTTCACAGGTGTGTCTAGCGTCAGTCTTACCTAAAGGACTGTGAGAAAGGACGTGCCCTGACAGATGGCAGCAGGAAGAAGGAAGAAACGAATGTTAGGAAGGGAGGTCAATGCCCGCCCCACCCTCTACTCAGCTCGAGCCCCCTCTGGCCTGGACACCCACGGGCAGGGCAGAGGCTGCTGCTCTCTCACGCACACCCTGCAAACTTCCCAGCCCATGGCTCTGCCTTCCTGGATGCGATCACATACGGGGGACCCATGTGTCTGTACCCATTTAGAGGCTGGAAGGAAAAAGCCCCAAGGAGTGGAGCAGTGCAAATGTGTGAGATAACCCCGCTGGGTTCCGCCACCTGAAGCCAAGCCCGCCGTGCTCGGCTGACAACGCTGCACACGCACAAACCAGCACACACGGCAACAGGCCTTGGGCACCCGCGGGCTGCGTCCTCCGCACTCTGGGTCCATCACCATGGATAACGGAAGCCTGAGCAGGGTCAGAAATGAGCAGGGCCCACAGACGGGGCACAGGAAGGACATGGCTGCCGCCCCCACTCTGGAGGCTGCCCCAACATGGAAGTCGTTTTGGAAGCAACACATGCGCAGCCACAGGGCCTGATGTGTCCCTACCACTCGGTGACCTTTCTGTGGGTGGAGAGCTAGTGTCAGAAAAGATGGAGACCTGACCCCTGACCTAAATCCAGTCCCCTTTCCCACCACCACACCTCACACCCCAGGGCATGCAAAGGTGTCTCAGGCCCGGCCAGGCGCACTGTGGACTCCAGCACAGGGCAGCTTCCTGGGGGACCTGGCCCCGAACATCTCAATGCGTGGCCCGTGAGGGATCACCTAGCCCCAAACTCATGGTGCAAACCTCTGAACCTGACTTTCATTCAAGAAGTGGTGAATTTACAACCTCAAACTCTAAACTGGGGAAGTTAATGGGCCTCAGCCTCAACCACCTGAGACCACATAGGGAAACAACAGGGACACATCAAAAACCCTGAGGGTCAGCGCTCACAGCACCATGGAACACAGGGTGAGACACACCAGCAAACAGGTGAATCCCTCCCGGCATCTTAAACTCAACCTGGCTGCCCCCGCTGGCCCAGGCACACACAGCGCATGCTCAGACTGCACAGCCGGCAGGTACAGGGAAGGAGGCCTCGCGCAGAGCCATCCGGTGTCACTGCCACAGAAGCCTGCTCACTGCTGGCCATGCCACAAGTTAGCGGCAAATCCCAGTTCTCTGAGCAGACAAAGGGACATACCAGTCCTCCCAGAGCAGCACTGCCCATGGAAGCAGCCCTCCCCTCCCCACTGATGCCACCCCAGGACGCCCTGAACACACTCACAGGGAGAGGAGAGGAGCACAGGCCAGCGGAGGCGCACGCAGGCAGCAGCGCCTACTTCCCCTCAATGCTGTGACCACACCCGCACGTGAGGAAAAGAACGGACAGACCTGCCCGCCCCTCGGCAGGCCCTGGGGGTGCGGCCAGGCCACCGGGGGCACAAACATTCCGTCACTGGGCTCACCACAGCACGCTCAGGTGGCCAAAGCAGGCACCCCAGAATGCAGCAGTGCCGGCATCCCACCTCATCTCAAACGGGTCTCCCTACAGGAACATACCCAGTCGAGTACTAGCAGCTCAGTGTGAAGCCCATGGGAGCAATCCCCACAGACCCTCCTTGCTGACAGCGCAGAGCCGAAGCAGGGGAGTCCTCCTGAGCTCAAATCACAGCCACGGTGGGCAAGGCATGCATTATAGGGCATCATCCCACAGGGACCCCCACTACCTAGGAAGCAGCCAGAATCCCAGCGTGGGAAGGCGCAGTCCTCAGGCACAGGAGAAACACACAGACTGCCTACAGTTATTTAGCTTCTCCAGAAGTTTGACATTTTTCAAAATTAAGTTGGGAAAGGACTATTATATCAAACAAACAGAAATAAAAGGTGAGCAGGGCTCTGGCTGGCGTGGCTCAGTGGATAGAATGTCAGCCTGATGCCCAAGGGTTGCAGGTTTGATTCCTGATCAAAGGCACATACCCGGGTTGCAGGTTCAATCCCCGGCCCTGCAGTTCGGGTGTGTGTGGGAGGCAACCAATCAATGTGTCTCTTTCACATCAATGTTTCTCTCTCCCTCTCTCCCTCCCATCCTCTCTAAAAACCAATGGGGAAAACATCCTGGGGTGAGGACTAACAACACAAACAAGAAAAGTGAGCAGGGCAGGCTCTGGCATAAGCCGTCCTCTGCTGGGCTGGGGGCCCAGGGTTATTAGAATCCGTCTTCACCTCTTGCTAATTGGCAACTGCCAGGCCTGTGAGCTGGGGAAATGTCTACCTGAAGCAGGTAGAGGTGAGGGTCAGAGTGTGGTGGACCGCCAACACCACACTCAATACACCAAACCCATGGGCAACAACACCCAGTGATTCTCTCAGGATGGGATGGGGGCTACGGGGAGGCATTCTCTGAAATGAAGAAGTGGGGGGCCTGGTCCCAAGTGTGGGGTCAGACCAAGAGCGCTGGCGATGACACGCACTTCCCCCCATGACTCAGTGATGCATATCTTGTCCTAGTAACTCCTAGTGAGAGGCCTTGCCAAGGGCCGAGCCAGAACTCACACCCTGGCCTCTGGCTCCTAGGGCCAGATCAGGAGGCAGAGGGAACAGCCAGCAGGCTGGGGTGGGTGCTGCCCGGTAGTCACCAAGTGCCTGAGCCACTCTGCACTCCCTGGCCCCCAGGTCCTATACAAGAAGCACCTTTGGTGGCTATGAGGGTCTGGTCAGCCTCAAGAGAACATTATGTTGGGGCCCTGGCCAGTGGCCACACCGTCTGAGACCTAGGCACACACTCTGAGGAGACACCGAGCTTGTCCTGGACATGTCCTGGCGCCCACCCAGGTGCTGACCTCTAGGCTGTAGTCATTCTCTCTCCATGGAACTTCAAAGAGAAGCACCAGCCTTCACCCGACCCCAAGCATCAGAAGTTGGCCAACAGCACAGTGACCACCTCTCCTGAGCAATACAAAACGGCAAAGAGCCAGCCAACGGGAGCAGACACACGCTGCAAACGAAGGTCCATGAACCGACTGGTTGGGGGCTGGCGTGGCCATACCTGTGGTTGCTGGGCGGCCGCTGAGGTATGTGCACCTGAGCCCTGAGGCTCAGCAGGCTCCCCACAGAGTCTCTAAGAGACCTAAAATCCCAAAAACCTCAGCTGACCAGTCCAGGCCTCAGGGTGGAGAGGCTGGGGCAGAGGGGGGTCTCTTACCTCATGTCCCCGAGCAGCTGAAGTCTTCTGTCCCGCCTGAGAGAGAGTCTCCTGAGTCCTCTTGTAGCTGGAGGAAGAAGCACAGTTACCCAACCAAACACAAGGGGCAGCCACCACCCTCAAACCTGACAGCACCTTTGCCTGGAGCTGCCACCCACACCAAGACCTGCCTCAGGGTCCAGCAAGACTGGCAACCAAGGCGAAGAAGCACTTACGGCAGGCGGGAGAGCAACCTCCACAGCACGGCCAGTGGAGGAATGGCTCGAGAGCTTCTCTGGGGCACAACTCATAGTGCCTGCCCAAGCACCCCCAACCCAAGGCTCACCTAAGGAAGTGCTTTCATTTCAAAAGAGTTAATAGATTATCTGCAAGAAACAGACTTCTGCACCAGAACCACGAGCACTCAGAAAAGCCCAGGTGCAAGGGGATGAAGGACACACAACTTCTTTACAAATTCAGAAGACCGCCTCAGCCCAGCCTTTCCCGGCACAGCGAATGCGGAGGACAATGTCACCACCCTGGGCTGAGCCGAAGCAAACAGTCTCAAGCAGGGGATTTAAAGAAGAGCCTGGCCTGGATGGTTTGGCTCAATGGATAGAGCCTGTGGACTGAAGGGTCCCAGGTTCAATTCTGCTCAGAGCACATGCCCAGGTTGCAGGCTCAATCCCCAGTGTGGGGCGTGCAGGAGGCAATCGACCCATGATTCTCTCCCATCTTTCATGTTTCTCTCTCTCACCCTCTCCCTTCCTCTCTGAAATCAATAAAAATATTTTAAAAAATAAAAAATCCCATATAATAAAAGCCTAATGTGCAAACTGTTCCCTCGGGCAGTCATTTGACTGCTTGCTATGACGTGCACTAACCACCAGGGGGGCAGCATGGAACATGGCGAGCATCGGCGACGTGGTGTTGGCAGTGGAGGCACTGCTGGCCCCATGGGTCCCAACAAGAGCAGAACCACAGCGGGATGGTGGAGCAGGTGAGGGGGCAGTGCCAGGCCAAAGCGGGGTGCCAGGAATGGCTGCAGGCCTGCAAGGCTGGGGGCGCGAGCTGGAGCCCGATCTCTGCAGGCCACACTGAGGGACCCCACCAGTGCACGCATTCATGTACCGGGCCTCTAGTAAAAAATAAAGAGCCTTACAGAATCTCTATTTGTGCTCATGAGGCCAAGCTGGGAAAGTGAAGCCCAAGAGAAAAGCGTGGGCCTGCGCCTTGAGTCCTTGGTGACAAAGAGGGCATCCTGTGGGCAACTCCAAGGGCACCACCCCATCAGAGACCAATGGGACAGGCCTGGGGGCAGAGCCAGAGTCTGTATCCAGGTAAGTCAGCCCCCACCATGTTTGCACGCTAGTCTATGCAGCCTGGCTAGCACCACTTTGGGAATCACTACCACCTTTTAGGAAAACATGGTGTAGAATCCTGAAAACTACCAGCCTCCTCTGGGGCACCTGCTAGGGGCACCTTCCCTTGGAGGCTATCCCACCCCCAACAAGGGTGGGCAGGTAGTTCAGGTCTGGCCGGCCAGAGATTCCCGCTCCTGGCCACAGCAAGAGTCCAAGGAGACCCACAGTGGGCCCCTTGCTGCTGGGAGCCCCTCACACCAAAGAGGAGGAGCTGAGAACAAAGCCACTGTGGGGAGAATGGAAGGTCCCCGTGCTCCGCGGGAGCCCTGGTCGGTGGGCCTGGAACAGGGGCTTCTCGACAGGCAAGACCTCCACACCCTCAGACTGACAGCCTTTAGCTGTGCTTTCTGTCACCTGCAACCAAAACACTCAATACAGTGACAATACTGAGTTAACTTGTGACTACGGAATTCACTGGTGCCCTCTCAGTACGGTGTTAGCTAAGATCTACCTATAAAAAGAACCCAATGGCCCAGCCGGTATTGCTCAGTGGTTGAGAGTCGACCTATGAACCAGGAGGTCACGGTGTGATTCCTGGTCAGGGCACATGCCTGGGTTGCAGGCTCGATCCCCAGTGTGGGGTGTGCAGAAGGCAGCCGATCAATGATTCTCTCTCATCAATGATGTGCCTCTCTCTCTCTCTTCCTTCCTCTCTGAAATCAATAAAAAAATATTTTTAAAGAAGGGCCCGGCAGGCATGGCTCAGGAGGTCACCGTTCGATTCCCAGTCAGGGCACATGGGTGCAGGAGGCAGCCAATTAATGATTCTCTCTTATCATTGATGTTTCTATCTCTCCCTCTCTCTTCCTCTCTGAAATCAATAAAAATGTTAAAAAAAGGGGGGGAAGAGTTGGCTGACAGAAGATCAGTAGCACCGAAACTGCTTCCTTCCAGCACGGTTCCATGAGCAGGACTTACAGACCCACAGTCGGGGAGACGGGCTCACCCCAATGCGTTTGCCCTTCAGACACTGGGCCAGCTATCTTGCAGTGACACCCTGGGGGCTCTGGCCAAGCACCCCTGGGCCCCTGCCCCCAGAGATGGCCACACCACCCCGGGCCTTGTGGCCTTCCTCCTGGGCAGTCACTGCAGAAATGCCTTCAGCCTGGAAGCATCTGACAACTTTCCAGCAGAACTAGTGCGAAACTCCGGGGGCACAGCCACTGCTGGTGAAATGCATGGAAAGGCTATGCTGCTGGCCACACACGTCCACACCCAGAGCTACGGCTCCTCTCCCGGGAGCGAGAGTTGTAGTTATTGGAAACAGTGTGTTGGCTGGTTTTACAGAGCAGCACCGAAGTCTCCAAAGGCTATTTCCTGATAAAGTCTGCACTGCGAATGGTCTGGCGACAGCCACTGAATCACCGAATACTGCCACACTGCTACAACACCCACTGCCACAACCAGCTGTCTACCAAACTGCACAAACAGCAGAACACAGGCATAGTCAGAGTCCCCTGAGCACACCAGGCTGCAGAGGCTTCATGTGTAGCTACCCTACCTGGGTCCCAGGCACCCCAGGAGAGGCTGGATAGCAACTGTTTTCTTTCAGCCCAACACTAACGGGCTTTCTGCTGGCAACCATGACAGTACTTCCTTCTGAACGAGACAGAATATCAGAGAACGACCATTCCTAAACACTGCCCACTTGGCTTAAAGAGCTATGATCTGATGAAGTTCTACTCTCTCGTTGAAGGATCTCAGCTAGAACATCACCGTGGTTCTCAACCAGAGCTGTGCTCTGTACTCTGCATGGTTTGTTCTGTGTGGCTGACAGCTTGGTGCCTCTCGGACCAAGGGGACTCCTTCAGGATCCCACAGGCATGGCCTGCACCAACCCTGACTTGAAGAGCATCTACGTGCGAGGGAAGCTCCACAGACCCCAGCAGCTGGAGCCAGGTCTGCAGGAGAAGGAAGGACAAAAACAAAGACCCCCCATCCACGTGGTGCAGACGGGACCTGGCCCCGCGCCCCCTGGAACACTGAGGGGTCTGAGGGAGAGGCTGCCGCCAGCCCGGGGCTCTTCTTCAAGGGACGGTGCAGGCAGAGGAGTTCTGTGGGGTCTGGTGGCCAGTGTGAGGGTCGTTCCATTCGTGTTGAAGAGGGAAAAAACGATACGAATTAGCCAGGAAACACAACTAGGTGTGTGCCTAGCACACACAGCCTGCTTGCCCCTGAAAGGTGTGGGCAGGAGAGGGGAGGGAGGTGCTGATGGCAAAGGCACTCACAGGTCCGACTGGGTCATTCTCTCATTCCACTCTCCAAGTTTCTCAGAAGTTTTCACATAGCTAAAAACAGAAAGTCTATGGTGAATTGTTTAGAAAAACTTTCAACTCAGGTTTCAAACTGCAAGTGAAATTCCAGGGCCAATGGAGAACTGACTGGCAGGAGCACAGAACGTCTGCGACCAGAGGACAGGGCCGCTTCTGCTTAGCACCCTGCTATGCCGCCCCGGTGGGGGCAGGGGAGGCGCAGAACAAACCAGTTCTTTCCCGTCTGGCCGAGGGTCATTCAATGTTACGATGGCTCTTGGGGAACACTGCTGTGAGGGCAGGAAGGGCAGCCTGTGGCCCCAAAACACTTGTAGCAGTCACCCGTTGAGGCTCAGAAGCTATGCTTTCCTAAGACGGAAACGGGGTTTTTCCAGGTGAGATTTATGAAGTGACTGCCTGTGGGGACAGGCCTTTCAGACAGTGGGAGACACTCCTCACCCCCACCCTGGAGGATACATTTCAGAGGAGCCACGCAGCTGCCCTGCCCAAGGTCAGAGCGGAGCGTTTGTGATCACACCCGTCATGGGGAGTCACGTCCACTCGAGCAGACGCTCAGCTCTGGGGACCACAGCAGTCAGTCTCATCAAGGACCTCATTAGTGTGCTCTCAAATTTGGACCCGAAACATATTCTTGTCGATTTCCACTTGGACAACTAGCTGTGTGTCCATCCACCTTTTACAAAACATCTGACTGAGCGGAGAAAGTGGGAGGACAATTGCTAGGTCAAGGTGGCAAGGCCCCTGGCTGACTGCTTCCAAACAGGCACATGTGGTCCCCATTCCTGGGAGGCACCTCGTCCTCAAGAACGAACACCCCGTCGACAGGACAGAGGCACCACGCTGTGCTTGCTCTCCAACCACCAGGGCGCCCTGCCGCAGAGCAGGCACCTACGCGCTCGAGACCTGCACGTCGCGCCAGCTCCTGGACAGGCTCTGCCTCAGGCCCTCCGAAGCAGAGGGGCCCAGCTTCCTCCTCAGCTCTCCGCAGCGCCTCTCCTTGGCCGCCAGGACCTGGCGCAGGGTGACAATTTCCTCTTCTACCTGCATAAGCACGAAGTTGACATGATTAGCTATACTACCACAGGAAGTGACGGACATCCTCATACAATGCGATGTGAGGTTCCTCAGTTATCTAAGAACTGTCCCCTTACAGAAACGTACATGTCAGAAATCTGGTACCAACACAACTTCTTCTGCTGAACTGTCTCACCCCCAAGCCGAGTGGCTCTGCTGGGGCTGCCGATCACCATGCTGACCGGGGGAGACTGAGCAAGGCCTTTGGAGCTCTGCCCGGGCTGGCACAGGGTCAGAGGAGGGAGGCCTTGCCTCTGGGCTTGGACAGCAGAGGCTGGAACATCTGGCAGCCCGCCCCATCTACGGGGGGGGGGGGGGGGGGGGTGTTCCTTATGCAGCAGGAAGGAAGCAGAGCAGACAGATGGCCAGAAACCCAGGTGACATGAACCGGCCCCATCACAGTATTTGTGCTCCTGAGGTCAGCTGCAGGCCTTGGCAAAAACCAGTTACACAAGCCAAAAGTAAATTCGCCTTTGTGTTTAAGGTAATTTGAGTTGAGTAACAGAGAACCCTGAACCTCCTCAGGTCTCAAAAAAAAAAAAGCCCTGGCCAGTGTGGCTCGGTTGGGCGTTGTCCCATCCACTGAGAGGCTGCTGGTTCAATTCCCAGTCAGGGCGCATGCCCAGACTGTGGGCTTGATCCCCAGTGGGGGTCGTGCAGGAGGCAGCTGATCAATGTTGTGCTCTCACATCGATGTTTCTCTTTGTCTCTCACTCTCCCTTCCTCTCTCTAAATATTCAATTAAAGTATTTTCTAAAAAAAGAAAGAATAAGTGACACGAGAAGGAAGCATCCATTTGAACCTTACTAGAGTTCTCAGCACTTCCAGCTCCTATATGAACAGCTATTCTAAAAAAGCCCCTTTCTTTAAAAAGTGCTTGTTTGGATTAAGGCACTAAAAACAGTGTAGAGCCTTGAATATCCCTATATTTTGCTTTAGAAAATAGTTGAAACAAGAAATAATTTACAAACACAGTATCATCTAAGGCCAAACTATTACCAGTCACTCAGTCAGGTACAACCAGTGACCAGAAGACTCCACTCCTGGTGTAATGACTGACAGGGCTCTGGGGCACATGGTCACGTTGTCCTGGGAACATGCAAGTTGAAAGTTTTAAGTGACACAAGAGTGACTCCACTCTGCGATCCAACTCTGAAAAAGACCTGGTGGCTTTAGTCTCAATGCCAACATATTTGAAGTAAAATACAAAGCATACATGTCCTTGGACTTCTTACTGCTTCTCTCTTAATCGCTGTTCAATTCAGAAACAGCCACGTGCTTTCCTGTGATCTGAAACCTGGTCCTGGGGCTGAGATTGGTCTGTACAACTAGCTTTGTTCAGACCTAGGACTGGGCCTGGGATGTATTAAGATGGGGCTTGTCTCTGGAGACACAGCAGAGGCCTGTGACAAATATGGCCAGATATTAACAAGACCATCTCCCCAGACTCTGGGATATCAACTGAGTCACTACCAGGCTCTGCATCACACAGTGGAAAGAAACCCTCTTATTAGTTGTTATAAAAATTAAACTCAGAGGCTTCTGTTTTTAACTCTGATTTTCTCTTAAGGGACTCTCACTTTAAAAAGATCACATTAAGTACTTTTTACAAAAAGGTGTTTTTGAAAGAGAAATTAAGATCCAGGGGCAATAAGATGATGGGGTCTTGAAAATGTCAGGTGTTAACGCCAACAGAGAAACTCCCCGTGGGTGGTGTGCTCAGAGCAGCTGCCCCTGTGTGGACATCCTCCCCCTGGAGCACCCATGAGGGGCTGGGTACATACAAGCCGGGGCCCCAAAGAGCAGTGTCTGTGGGGCCTCAGGATAACCCCATTTCTCAGGGCACAGCCAGCACTCTGCCCTCATTAGCCTAAGGGGGCCTCGCTCATGGTCCCACAGGCCAGCCAGCCAAGACACAGAACCTTCATGAGCTCGGCCCTCAACTCCTCCTCCTCAGCTTCCGTCAGACCCTCGACAGCAGGAGTCTGGGCAGCCACTGCCATGTCAACAGGGACATCCGTCATGGAGTCGGACAACAGACCTTTGTTAGGAGAATTCAGGTTGATATCTGCCAGAGACAAAACAAGGCCAGAAAGTGCCAAGTAAGAAGTCATGGAGAAGTCCAGGGGACAGAGGAGAAAGAAAGGGTGAAAGGACAGGCGGCGGGGGAGGACTGGACACTAACAATGCCTCTTCTCTGAAAGGTTTTGTGAAGATGATTTGGTCCATCTGCCTGAGGGCAGCCACACCCCAGCCCACCCCAGATGCTGCTTCAGGGCCTGGAAATGCTGGTGCAAGGCAGCCATACCCTTCCTCTGCTTCCCCTGCGAGAACACCATCTCCGAAGCGGAGCACTTTGCTATAAGGCAGCCCAATCTAACAGAGCTGCCATTTTTAGAGGAAAAGAACACAATACAGCTGTAAACACAAGCGCCCCTTTCCAAGCAACTGAGCTGCCAGAGCCCATGCTACAATCACATGCAAGGAGCACATGTCAGGTGTCTAGCCCTGCAGGGAGTCGGCAGCACAGAAATGCCCTTCGTTCACACGGGACCTCACCCCTCAGCAAGGACCCATAGCATGCCTCCACACTCCTCTGCTACACCCAGATCAGGTTCAAATTTCTGCAGCCACTATTTTTTCTTATTACGTGCATCTTCCTGTCTGCACTGAAAGTTTACAAGATATCACACAAGGAAAAGGAGATCTACTTTAGTTCTTTCCTACTCTGACCACATGATTGTCATTTAGTACTTTTATACCATCAGCACTGAGAACATCTTCCCTTTGAACACCACACTGTGAAGAAACAGCCTTTGCCTGGTGTCTTACACCTTTAAGAGTAAAAGAGCCCGACCAGCATGGCTCAGTAGTTGAGTGTCAACCTATGAACTAGGAGGTCATGGTTCAATTCCAGGTCCGGGCACATGCCCAGGTTGCGGGCTTGATCCCGTGTGGGGTGTGTAGGAGGCAGTCGAATGATGATTCTCTCATCATTGAGGTTTCTATCTCTCTCTCCCTTCCTCTCTAAAATCACTAAAAATATTTTAGCCCTAGCCAGTTTGGCTTAGTGGATAGAGTGTTGGCCTGAGAACTGAAGGTCCCAGGTTCAATTGTGGTCAAGAGCACACACCCAGGTTGTGGGCTCCATCCTCAGTAAAGGGCATGCAGGAGGCAGCCGATCAGTGATTCTCTCATCATTGATGTTTCTTTCTTTCTCTCCCTCTCCATTCCTCCCTGAAATCAATTAAAAAATATTTTAAAAATATTTAAAAAAACAAGAATAACAAAATGAAAGTAAACGAAATTGCCTGGCTTGCATGGCTCAGCTTCAACCTATGAACCAGAAGGTCATGGTTCAATTTTGGTCAGGGCACATGCCTGGGTTGCAGGCTCGATCTCCAGTAGGGGGCGTGCAGGAGGCAGCTGATGGATGATGTTCCTCTCCCACTGATGTTTCTCTATCTCTATATCCCTTCCATTCTCTCTAAAAATCAATAAAAACATATAAATATTTTTAAAAAGCATTAAGTTTAGAGAGAAGTAAAAGTGTTTGCCTACTGTAGAAATGCCAGAGTCTGCTAAAATTAGATGGAATGCACTTAAAATCAAAGATGCTCCACTTAGCCAGCTGTCCTGTTCCCTTCACATGCCCACCCACACAGCTCCAGCTGGGCTCTTCCTTGGTACTCAAGAGATATTTACAAAACAAAGCATATCCACTTTTAAATCAACAGATTCTGAATTTTAACTGGTATCAACCTACATAATTTTACTTCATCATTGTATCCACTATACTGACGCTACTCAAATTCAGTAAATGCCTTAAAATTTCCAAAATTTTTCTCTTCTATTATAAAAAAAAAATGAACGCCCTTGGACTGTTTCTGGCAATAAAGCTAAAACTTGATCCCGGGGAAAACTAAGATGGCGCCATAGATAAACACCGGGAAATTGCTGCTTCCCACAACAATTGAATAATACTTCAAAAACACAAAACGGACATCATCCAGAACTAC